AATACCCACCCCTGCTCTCCCGCCGCCACCCTCCTGCCGCCAGCCGGCGCGGGGCAGGGGGACAGCCAGGCAGAGCTGAAATCCCCCGCGCAGCGCCCGAGGAGCTGTGCATCCGGCGGCAGGAACCACAGACCAGGCACCCCCGGCCAGGCCCGTGCAACAGAGCTGGGAGGGAGAAAGCTGGGTCCGAGCCGGGTGCTGTGCAAACCAAAGCAAAACCCTGTAAGTGCCTCCAGTCGTCCCCCGCCCGGCGGAACTGCCCAGCCCCGGTTCTTGGCGAGATGGCAAGGAATGCAGCGTACCATACAGGTGCTCAAAACCATGACTGCTTTCGATGCAGACCTTAGTTTATATTCCATTTTAGCTTCCCTTTGTTGTACAAGGAACAATAGGAAGCAGTAAGACACACTAGGGATTAACATACTCAACAGCACTGCCTAACCAGTGATGGCATCCAGGTGATGTATTTGAAAGTTTTAGAGCATCACATCTTACATCCCTTCTCCCCAAATGTCCCCCCCCCCCCGCTTTCTTTTCAGTATGTTTTTTGCCATTTCCCAGCAATTCATACACTTTTTCCTCTATCTTCTGTTAGCTCCATTAAAATAGTCTTTCACAAGATGTTTGTCTGACCTTCCATCAGTCCACAGCCTCTCCAAATCCAAACAATTACTTCTGAAACACCTGAGAAAATCTGGCCTTAAGTTTTGGGCTTTGCAGGCTGCTTGGAGCAGATAAAAAAACCCTGAACAACTTACAAGGGTGGTATCAACAGCAAACGCTAGATTTGGTTTCTGTGCTCTTTCACAACTCCACCAAAATCCACAGTTCCCTTCCAGCCTCTGACAGATGCCAGGAGTATGCCCTGTAGGTGGGACCTTTGAGTGCTAACCTGCTTCATTTGGAAGCCATCCAAAATTACCAATACCCATCTGTGTTTCACACACATCTCACTTTGGATTCCCAACCAAACTCCTTTTACGTTCTGTTAGTGTGACCAAGCACTCAACATATTGCTTGATTGGAGCTCTCCCTCCAGCTGGGATATGCCAAAATAGACCTGCCATCTCTTCCCACATATGTCCTTCACTGTGAGGCCCCTGGCAGGGGAGGCAGCAGGAGACCACAAGTTTCAGCCTTATGTTTTTTTCCCCAGCTGACTTGTGATAGTAATTTTGAATCCATCAAGTTCTCTCTAACAGCAGAACCTCTTACGTTGTACATACAGGGAATGGAATCTGATCTCCAGAGGGACGGACAGCCAGCCACCACCGATTTCATCCCGCTGTCCCTTGGAGAGAGCTTCCCAAACATCTTTCCTTCATCACATTGCCTATAAAATAGCACAAATTCCGGACGTGTCACTAAGGCTCAAAGTGTGCTTCTGCCCTCCAGCAGCTAGGCCAAGTCATGGAGTCTTCCATTTAAAGAAAAGGCTTACTAAGGACCCTAAGAAATCACACAGCAGTTCTTCTTGTTAAAAGAAAGTCTTAGTAAGATGGTAGTCGCTCTCAAATACTGGAACAACCCAAAAGTTAGGCTGTCTTGTGTTATTCTGACTCATCCATCCCATAGCACTAACCAAGATCCACCTAATTACAGTAGAACAGTAGCTGTGGACAGATGAGTTCTTTCAGCTCCAGCTGTGCTGAGGAAAGATCATAGAATCATTTAGGTTGGAAAAGACCTTTAAGCTCACCCAGCACAACCGTTCCCCTAACCCTGCCATCCCACCACTAAACCCTGGCCCTAAGCACCTCGTCTGCCCGGCTTTTAAATCCCGCCAGGGATGGGGACTCACCCCCTGCCCTGGGCAGCCCCTTCCAGTGCTTGACAGCCCTTTCGGGGAAGAAATTTTTCCTAATGTCCAATCTAAATCTGCCCTGGCACAACTTGAGGCAGTTTCCCCTCATCCCATTGCTCATTCTCTGGGAGAAGAGACCAACACCCACCCCACTACACCCTCCTAAGGCTACTACCCCTTGGTTCTGCTCCTGTACCCTCCTAGATGAGGGCACCAAAATGCTGTGGTTAGCAGAGATCTGCTGCGTTGGCAAGCTGCAGCCTCTCCCTCAAGGCTTTCCTTTTCCTCTACTTCATGGCTGGGGCAATGCTGAGAGAGAATCAGGACTGAGCACCAAGTGAAGCCACTGGAGAAGGCATTTTGTTGTTCTACAGATTAGATGATGAACAGCGCGAGAGATATGAACAGCTGGAAAAGAACCTTACAACAAGGTTACAACAAGGAGCTGCTAACGAGAGCTCCATCTTTGTCTAACAGTGCCTCAATTTTAGGGTGCCCTTCCCTCAGCACCTCCCATGCAACAGTTGCATCAATGCAGTATTTCTAGAACAGCAACTGTCCCACCCGCTAAAAGGAAAGAACTACAGAGCTAGAAGGGCCCCTAGAAGTTACCACCCCTTCCGATACATCTGTCTGTCCCAAGTTGCAAGTGCCTCTTACTGTAGTTTACTCACAACTGCAACAGGATTTCCATCCTGAAGGGTAAGAGTACAGATTTCATGTAACTGTACCACACCAATACAGATCAGAACAAAAGCAGTAGTTTCTCAAAGCAACCCCGCATCAACAAAGACGGGGCACTGACCCAGTTGTACTGGTCACGTGGATTTACTTATCCTATGTATCTCTAACCCACTCAAATGCCCCAATGGTGTTGGACTAGATGATCTCCGGAGGTCCCTTCCAACCCTTGCCATTCTGTGATCCTGTGACTATAGCTTGTTTGTGCTTGCTCCAGACTCAACTTCCAGCAGGCTTGAAGGAAAAAGAAAATTTTTCTACCCCTCACCCCCATTTTCTTTAAAAAACTCTTTGTAGAACGCTACTGATTTCTCTTTCTGATCATTGCATGCTCCTATCAAAAAGACACTAATAACACATTAAAAGGTTTGGATTTGTAAAGTCAGCTGAACGTCAAGAGGTTTCATGCCTTTCACCTGTTAAGAAAAAGAAATGCAGCCTGGTTTCCACCAGAGGAAGGCTCAGGAGCTCTCCCACCGGCTGCTGCAGGGAGCGGCTTGTGAACATCTCTTCAGCTGTCTGCTGCACCAAAGCAGAGTTGCATTTCAGTCTGAACCAAGTCCCCTTCCATCCCGCCCTTACGCACACTACACATGCAGCTCAGCTGGTCCTCCCTGAAGCCAGCTTCACTGACTGACTGAGGTGGCTGATGCGGACTTATGCAAGTGAGGCCCCAAAGGGAAGTTTAAAAGAGGAAGGAAATGGGGAAATTTCATAGGAAAAGCATGTTAGATGCTGTAAGAAGGAAGCAAGCTCCATTGCAGGGTAAATCAAACCTTCACTAGTCCACACTCCACCTCAGTTTGACATTACCTGGACGCTTACTAAACCGGTTTCAGCCCACACTGGCTCCACATACAGAGGAACCAAGCAATTTTCTGTGTTGCAGCTGCTCTCCTCACCCCATGCCATCCTTCATGCTTGACAGACACACTAGACCTACAAACCCGAGCCTCCGCCACAAAATCAAACAGTTTTCCCAACCGATCATCAATCTGTCCGGCTAAGCGCACATTCGTAAAGAGGCCAAAGATAAAAGAGGAGAGAAGACTTGTAGCCTCAGAAGTGAAGCGTGAAGCGATCCATGCTTTTCTCCTTATGACAGGGAACCGCTCAGGCTCATTTTCAGAGCAAAGCAAGCTGTGGACTCTGCATAAGCCTGTAAAACTTTGGAATAAACTCACAAGGTACCTCTAACCTGTATACTCTTCTTTCTCTTTCTGAACACCTACCTGCTACTCAGGCAACCCATCAGTTTGGGATTGGCAACTCTGCAGCATTAACAGCCGATACCTGAATTGTATTTTATGAACCAGCAGTAGCAGAATTTAATGGGAAGCTGTTTCGCTTCATAATACAATTCACATTGCGAGGTATGACTTTTTCCGTTATGAAACTATAAAAATATATTCCCAGAGTCTGAATCAATAATTTAAACTGATAATGAAAATAGAATCAGGTGTTATCCAGGAAGACCTGTCCCAGTACCGCAAGTTTAGAGTTAAAGGACTGACTGGGGCAGCTCAGGAGGGAGTGTGAGCTCTTCTTGGAGTTTCTCCTCTCTCCACCTTTTCCTGAAGAGGCATCTTTTGCACTTTCCTCTTCACCATGGTCAGAAGCTCTTTTTAAAGTGAATTTTTTGTTCTTCTTCAGTGAGTAAAATTCCCGCAGCAAGTCTTCCACTTCCCACTGCTCTTCCTTACGCTTCCTACAGCAGTGCAGCGCAGCAGGGTCTATAGGGTGAGCTTCAGTGTTGAAGACATATCCTCCGGCGTTCAAGACACATTCCCCATATGGCGTAATCACCACATCAAAGACCGAACCATCATTGTGAATGAAGTTGTCTGGGTCAAACAGCAGGTACAAGTATTTTACTGTTTCAGCCAAAAAGAAGGATTCCATGCGATTATCCAGTCTGTGATCTCTCAAGTCTTTGATCTACAAGAGAAGAAATACAGGGGGTTACAGATATATGGAATTCAGTAAGTTACAAACTTAGGGGGGAAAAGTAAAACCAGCTTGCAGTTAATTTCATTTAAACACCACAGTTTGGCCCCAATTCACCCTGTATTTTAAATAGTTGTACGCAAATACATCAACGAAGTTTCAGATGTTTTGAATTAGCATAGTCTAGTGATACAGAACAGTAAACTAACAATCAGGAGAAATAAACTTCCTAACTGGGTAAGGAGAACGGTGAGTACGCTTCCCATCATTTCCCCCACTAAAAAACCCCAATCATAAGGCTTTTACCTACTTCCCAAAGCACAAGGCCTAATTCCCAGTATTAATAAGGAGTCTTTTGTAAAACAGAGCTTGATAGTATGTTTGAAATCTTCCATTAAATGATTTTAGAGAAATCACTCACTGCAGTTCTCCTGTGTTTGATGAGATCTTCAAGGCATAGTGGAAAAGCAGAATCACACAACTGGTGTACGAGCCAGCCTGCATATGAGCCTTCTTGCTCAGCTGGAACACCTAATAGCTACCAAGATGCAGGGGGGAGGAGAAGCTTCTGATGCTTTCCCATGTTTTGGGCTCTGGTGCAACAGCCAATGACAGAATTTGGCCCACTGTTCAGGCTGTGAGGGTAGTTACCACCACAAACATGACCAGAGTTACGAGACCAGCTTCACAGAGAAATACCAAGGGTTTCTTTGAAAAGGAAGTCATGTTTCAACCCAAGCTTGACTCAATGGCAAAACACCATTCATGAGAACAAGCTGTTTTAGCAGCCATTTAGCCAACTTAGCAGTTGATTTAGCACTTACAGTTGCAAATCCACAGTCCACCCTGCTGATTTTCTCTATTGACTCCACTGCGTCTCTTCCCAGTTCTAAGAGAGTGGGATCTCTTGTAGCACGGTACAGATACATTGCACTCTCAATCAGCTCTGCAAAAAAACCCCAAACATTTGCAAGTGTAAAGATTACCAAACCATGCACCCAGGGAAGACAATATATTCCTTGAATAAATTTAACAATACTACTTTAAGATGATCAGGTAAACAGCCTAGCTTGCCTCATCTTTCCTCTGGCTCAGAGCAGAGAAACTTGCTTTTACTGAGGATGGGCTACAAAGAAATTCACTCTAATCAGATTGCTCAGGTACCAGTGAATAACACTCCCTTCCCACATTCAGAGAGTGGGAGGGGAGCAAGAGAGAAAAGGATTAGAACTCAGTTGTCAAAGAAAAGAAAAGATGCTTCTAGAAGGGATTACAGACAAGAAATTCAATCCTCAAAATGCATTTTTTAAACAATACTGTGAGCCTCTGAAACAGGGGTATCTAAACCACCATGAAAACAGGCACTATGGAAATACTCTATATAGACAACATACACACTGTGCAGGGTTTACTTACTAAGAAACGGGTCTTTCAGGATGCTGTAATGCATTTGAAAGTTAATGCTGATGAGTATTTTTGGTAGAAGTGTCCAGTGTGGATGTCACCTGAACACTCAGGCCAAAAGGAAATTAATTATCCTCATTTACAAACTTTTACTGACTGTCATGGTTTAACCCCAGCCAGCAACTAAGCCCCACCCAGCCACTCACTCACTCCCCTGCCCCAAGTGGGATGGGGAGAGAATCAGATGGGCAAAAGTGAGAACACTTATGGGTTGAGATAAGAACAGTTTAATAATAAAAATAAAATAATAAGGTATAACAAAAATAACAAAAAGAGAGAGAAATAAACCCCAAGAAAGACAAGCAATACAAGTGAAAAACAATTGCTCACCACCCAATGCCCAGCCAGCTTTCCCCCCCATTTATATACTGGGCATGACATCATATGGTCTGGAATAGCCCTGTGGCCAGTTGGGGTCAGCTGTCCTGGCGGTGCCCCCTCCCAGCTTCTTGTGCCCCTGGCAGAGCAGGGGAAGCTGAAAAAGACCTTGACTGGTGTCAGCCCAGCTCAGCAACAACTGAACCATCAGGGTGTTACCAACATTCTTCTCATACTAAATCTAAAACCCAGCACTATGCCAGCTACCAGGAAGAAAGTTAACTCTATCCCAGCTGAAACCAGGACACTGACCTAATAATCAGGTGTGAACTCATATTTTTTTCAGAGTTATAAAAAGAAACCAAAAACCAAACCAGAACAAAATACAGATAATTTCATTGCAGTATCACAGACAACACATAATCCCTCTTGTACATTCAGCTTTACTAGTGCAACTAGAATTAGTTTCAGGAACCCAGCAGAACTAGAGTGATCTATTAATACTCACTTTCACTTCCTAAATTTAAAGGACACAGGCAGGCATATCAACATTTCACATGGCTTTAAAACATCCCACGTCAGACAGTGTGTCCTTGATTTTGGCTGTCAAATCCTACATTGTGAACCCAATTCATTAACGGGTCCCCTTAATATAGTAACACTGTGGTTTGCTTCCTTTAAAAGGTAGCTCTGCTTTTGTGAAAGGCAGAAAGCAAAATGTGTAGCTTTGAGTATGGAAATTGCTGGTAAAACACATGCAGGAACCAAGTCAAGACAAAACTGGGGAGGAGCTTTTGGAAGGCAGGTGTTGCTAACATTTGATCTTACCACCAGAGTAAAAGCAGGAGTCCATGTTCCTTTTTATTTCACCTCTGCTTACCAGGCCGGAGTGGATATCCTTCTCTCTTGTCCACCGTATAGCCCTGGGGAATGTTGTAGAACTCAGGCAGCCCACCAAACTGCTTCCAGACAGTGTAATAGTTGAGGAAGGTTCGCATGGCATTATCTACATCCCCAATTAGGCTCTGAGAGAGAGGAAACAATTAGCAGAGCAACACCTGGGTGAAGCAGAAACAGCACAGGAATCGATGCAGTAACACTCCTA